GGAGAAGGGGAAGGTCCTGTTTTCTTTGTGGATGAATATCACCCAGCATTTTTGTCTGTTCTCTTTTGTGTTTTTTGCTCATTTCCTTTCTCCTTCTGCATTAGATTTACTAGTTGAATAAATCCAGTCCTGTGTCAATGAAAAAGTGTGATGTGTTGAGTGTGTTAGGTCTGCGCCAACAGGAGCCAGGCCAAGAGACGTTGTGAGAGTCTGAGAAATTGTATTACACTCTCTCACAGCGGGTGGAGGCCAGTGTGTCGGTGTCAGCACGGAGGGGTGTTATAGGGTCTGGGTCAGGGCTGCATCGGCCAGCTGGGGGAGCTGCCTGAACCACAGGACACCCTTGGAAGATAGCAGGATGTCTGGTGGGCACACAACTCAGGCAGGCAGAGGGGAGTGCCTGAGTCCGCTGGGGAGTGTATCTTATCTTCTGCAGGTGCAGGCTGTTTGCTTCAAGCTATGAAAAAAAACTTACAGCAATATATTTCAGAAAACATGTCCAAACAAGAGAGGCCAAGGGTAGTGCACCCTAACATTCCTCCCTCTTTTTTTTTAAATACATTTTTATTATTGATTTTAGAGAGGACAGGAGAGGGAGAGAGAGATAGAAACATCAATGATGAGAATCATTGATCAGCTGCCTCCTGCACGCCCCCCACTGAGGATCAAGCCCACAACCCAGACATGTGCCCTTGACCAGAATCGAATCTGGGACCCTTCAGTCCGCAGGCCAACGCTCTATCCACTGAGCCAAACCAGCTAGGGCAAGAGAATAGATTCTTATTGGATTTATGCAAACAAACACATTGACATGAGAATAATGATACTCATTCATTGAGAGTTGTTAACTTCTGGAGGGATTAGGTAGGAAGAAAAATATAAATGCTTCCATATTGCTTATGAAGATATAATTTACCAAATCATCCTGGGGAAATAGGAACAAGCTCTCTTATATCTGAAGGAAATGAAAACTTAAAATGACATGCTTATGGACTTGACCATAAAACAATTGACAGCCCTAAATGGTTTGGCTCAGTGGATAGAGTGTCGGCCTGTGGACCAAAAGGTCCCAGGTTCGATTCCGGTCAAGGGCATGTACCTTGGTTGCGGGCACATCCCCAGTAGGGGGTGTGCAGGAGGCAGCTGATCAATGTTTCTCTCCCATTGATGTTTCTAACTCTCTATCCCTCTCCCTTCCTCTCTGTAAAAAAATCAATAAAATATATTTTAAAAAAACAACTGACAAAGAACCTTGCTTTTCTGTAAGGTATAATAGTCCAAGATAACAACTTCTTGGGAAATAATAATTGTTATGAAATGACATGAAGTTTATATTCTTAGGTTCAATGTAGAGTTTTAATATGTAAAGAGCAAGCAATCTGTAAGATTTCAAATGCTGCACATAGCTTATTGGAAGTGCTCATGGAGTACAGTGGGGCCTTCACTTACGAGTGTCCCGACTAATGAGTTTTTCGAGATACGAGCCATCTCTCAGCCAATTTTTTGCTTTGAGTTGCGAGCTAAAATTCGGGTTACGAGCCAGCTTCAGATACCCCACCGCTAGTTGGTGCAGCGAACGTCACAGTGAACACCACAACATCAGCCCAGCATCACGTGTCTCACTCGTTCACTTTTGATTTGACATACGAGTAATTTGAGTTACAAGCTCCGTCACGGAACGAATTAAACTCGTAAGTCAAGGCCCCACTGTACTGGAAACAATTCATAAATGCCCCAATGCATGGATCACAGACACCTGGAGCACTACTGCCAGATGCCCTCCACAGGGAACTATTACTCTAGCTCCTCTGGTGTCGTGGAGAGGGTACCTGTTCCTCCTGAGAATCTCCTCTCTGAACTCGGCTCTGAATTTTTGCAAGTTCCTTCCTAGAGAGACTGAAATTTCCAGAACCTCTATTTTAATAAAAATATATGTATATAATTAAACATAGTTATTATTATTATTAATTTTTATTTGGCAAAGCTTCCCATGTAATTTTTCAAGCACATGAAATAGGCCTAATTAGTTTGAAAACTTAGGAGAGAAAAGAAATCCTTGAGGTATTTCAGGGCCCACTGTAATAACTCAAAGTCATTTCTCTGTTAAAAAAGTCTTTTGAAATTTAAACTTTGGGAGGGTTGTCAAATATACTTAACCAAAAGATTATATTATACATCTTTTGTAAATTTAGGTAAAACAAATGTACAGTTTTATGGTAATAACTTTAAAAGATCTTAATTAAACTGGCTTTAATATTAAATACATTGTCAAGACCATAGGATCTTATTTAATTCTCTGTAGGCCAACAAGCTATTATACCCTAGTAGTGCCATCGGAGGTAGAAAATACACCACATATAATATATAGACAAATACATAAAGACTATACACATGATTCAAATTACTAATTTTGTAGAGAGGACATAAGATTTTTCATTTGCTTTTGATGACTTTTAAGAAAAGGCTATAAAAGGGGAGAGAAGTTCCCAAATACCAAGCAGGAAGTCCTGTTGAGACGTTCAATGAAAGTGTTACGGGCTGTGAATCAGTGTTGGAAACAGAAAGTCTAGGCTCCGCCCTACCAGTGAACGGAAAGGTCCCAGGTTCGATTCCGGTCAAGGGCATGTACCTTGGTTGTGGGCACATCCCCAGTAGGAGGTGTGCAGGAAGCAGCTGATTGGTGTTTCTAACTCTCTTCCTCTCTGTAAAAAATCAATAAAATATTTAAAAAGAAAGAAAGAAAGGCTAGGCTCCAATCTGAGGACTTAAGCAAGGAGAGCGAGCCGGGGTGGGGCCACTTTGGCTCACTAAAAAGTTAGAAACCCTGGTGACCTAGGATGTGACAGGACACGAGTGGGGTTGTTAGAAATACTAGGAGTGGAGGGTCCCTTCGAAAGTCAGGGGTGATCAAGTCCTGGTTCACTGGACCCCATTGCCGGGTGCTGCCCGGGGGCGGTGACGCCACTCGTATCCAGAGGGCAGGTTTGCCTTTCCTCTTAGTATTGCCGCATTTTGAGAAAGGCCTTACTCCGCAGCGGGACAGGTAGATGTCCCCCACACCCACAAAGAGCAAGAGAGAGTGTAACGAAAGCGACTCTGGGTCCACGAGGGAGAAATTAGGTGGAGGAAGGGACTAGGACCTGACTGGTTTTTCTACAAACTTAAAACTTTTCCCAACTTTTGTAACCTTCACAACCTTTTATACACCTTTTTACAATTTGTATAAATCTTTTTATCTGTTCAGAAATAACTATCATTAGAATGACTCAACTTCAATCCTTGTCCTGTAAAATGTGTCCTTATACTTTATGCCTTCTATCATTACAACTGTACAATTTTTTCTTAATTTGAACTTTTAATTCTTAGAAACCTTAACTTTCAGTGGTAACCGAAAGTACACAACCAGTATTCCTTAGGTTGATGTTTATGAACACACTTTAAACATACTCTCACTTTCAAGAAAACACACCTTCAACAAAGCATAAGACATTACATCAACAGTTCCAAATCCACTTACAGACCTTCTTCCAATAAAAAGCTAAGAGCAGGCAAACTTAAGACTTGTCTAGCAATGGATGTTTTAAAATTCCATGTTATTCTAAAATATTTAGATGTTCAATGACTGTTATCATTTAACCCAGCAATGCTTCAAAGTTTTTAAATTACTAAAGACTTCAGAAAACTATGTATATGCAGATATAATGATTACTGAAAAGCTTTATCAAAACCCTTCATTTCAATTACATTTATTGTCTTAACAGCTGTATGAGATTTTATTAAAATACTAGAGGCCCAGTGCACGAATTCGTGCATGGGTGGGGTCCAGCCTGCCTGGCACCAATGTGGGCTTGATCAGGGCCAGGCTGGCTGGGGGGAGGGGCTGCGGGCAATTGGCCAGCGGGCCCCACCTCGAATTAGGGTGTGGGGGGCTGAATGGGGGTCAGTGGCTGGGGGAGGGGCCATGGGAGCTTGGTGGCCAGCCCCACCCCTGATTGGTATGGGGGGGTAAATGGGGGTGGAGCTGGTTGTGTGGAGGGACTGTGGGTGGTGGGCTGGTCGGCCCCACTCCTAAATGGGGTGTGGGGGCCGATTAGGGGTCAGCAGCCTGGGGGAGAGGCCATGGGTGGTTGGCTGGCCGGCCCTGCCCCTGATGGGAGTGGGGAACCAACCAGGGATGGAGATGGCTATGGGGAGGGGCCGTGACCTATTGGGGGGGTGGTGAGAGCCCATTGGGGGTGGGGCTGGCTGGCGGGGAGGGGCTGCAGGAAGTTGGCTGTCCAGCCCTACCCCCTATTGGGGTGAGGGTGATCAGGGGCGGGGCCAACCAGGGGGAGGGGCCTTGGGAGGTTGGCTGGCCACCCCAACCCCTGATCGGGCCGGTTCGCTGGCCTCAGTGGGCATCATAGCGACTGGTCGTTCCAGTCTATGGCTCCGGTCGCTGGCTTTTTATATATATAGATTTTTTATTGATTTCAGAGAGGAAGGGAAAGGGAGAGAGAGATAGAAACATCCATGATGAGAGAGAATCATTGATCAGCTGCCTCCTGCATGTCCGCTACTGGAGATTGAGTCCACAACCCGGGCATGTGCCCTGACTGGGAATGAACCGTGACCTCCTGGTTCATAGGTAGACACTCAAACACTGAGCCATGCCAGCAGGCACAACTCTATGAGATTTTAAAGCCAATTATTATCCAAGCTATTTTCTTGATAAATTTTGTAACAGGGATAACATGACCTTGACAACTTTTTAGGAGGCTGGCGAAAAGGTGGGGGGAGGAGGGAGCAGGCCCCAGGCTTGCCAGCCACTTGGATTTAAAAGCGCCACATTCTTTCCTTACAAGGGGAAGGGCTGTATTCCTCCTGGTAGCTTCTGAAGGTATGACTAAAAGTGAGGCTACAGTTGAAGGGGTAGAGGAAAGGGTAGCTTTGAGGATGCATATAAGAGGCCTTGCGGAGAGAGTAAGCAGCCCCTGTGTCTAAGAATTTAATTGTCTTACCTGTCATGTCCAGGGTCACCTTGGGCTCCATCCCTTCCATAGTGATGCTCTTAGTGGGGGCCGACTGGCGCGTTGGGCCCTGTCAGTTCAAAGACATTGTGTGGTTAGGTTCTGGCCCCGGGGACCCTCCAGCCCCCGGGACAGTCCCTCTTCCAGTGGCCGAACTTGTGGCAGAGGGGACACGGCCCCTGAGGTGACATATAGCTTAAAAGTGATTTGCCTGTTTCTGTGCGAGGGCTTTCTTGCTTTCTCTGCCCTGTCTCCATTGTTAAAACACTGAAAGGTATTCCTACCAGTTGCTCCGTGGGGGTCTGGGCTCCTAAGGCTAGTTTTTGGTAACTTTTTCCTATTGCCTAAGGCTGTCTGTTGGATGAAATGTATCCCCAAAAGTTCTCGGCCTTTAACAAACCTGAACAATTCCTTTAACAGACGTTCGATTTATTACTTTTCTTAGAGATAGCGTGCTAAGGTTTGGGTGATGATGAGCTCTGCTCCTGGTAGTGGCAGGATTGGTGAGTTTTGCAAACAAGTGCCTGCAGTCTTGTTACAAAGAAAGGGTTAAACAGGCAACTGCTCTGTGGAGGGGGGGGGGTGGATGTCGGATGTCGAGAAAGCAGGCTGTGCTCTGGCTTTGTGAGCGGCAGGCAGTTTGCTGGGCCTGTGAGGAAAGTTTCCATGAATTCGTTTGTAATTGTGGCAAAACGCACTGTATAAGTTTTTTTGAAATCCCTAGCCCGCTAAAGGGCTATAAGCATTAGCAAAACCAACTTCATAGGAGAACAGTGTTACCATTTAGAGGTCTGTTCACAGGCCAGAATTCCCTGTCCCCGAGCTGGTACTGGGGCTGAATGAACAGCTGGGTCAGAGAGAAGTGAGGACGTTGAGGAAGGTTCAGAATGAAGAAGAGTTTGGTAAGCAGTGCAGTCCTGACAGAGGGAAGGGCGACTCTGGAGAAGGAAGAAGGCCTGGACGTAGGGAATTTCTGCTGTGGGGGCGATAGCTGTCTAAGTCAGTGAAGGTGCTGAGGTCGCAAGTGCCATTCCCAGGCCAGATGGACTCGTTGTCACTTGGGGGCCAGGCCCTGCTGCAGTAGAAAATGAGCCTGAAGGCTGTGAGGAGGAGGCACCCTGAAGGGGAGGGCTCTGAGGAGTAGGTTGCTGGTTCCCACAATGGCTTGGCGTGGTGGACAGGGGGAGAGGTGAGTAAGAAGTCTATCCCAGAGGTGAGAAGTCCGAAGGGAAGGCGTCCCAACCGTCCGAACGAAGCACTGGAGAGAAGAGGGAGGCTGGCCACTATGTCAGGGCGTCCCACTCATGCAGGGTAGCCAGGGACCTGGCTCCGGGAGAGTGGGCCCTCTGGCCCCCGTGAGCGAGGACTTCGGTGAGGCAAAAGCCAGCAAGTCGGAGGGTCAAGGGAAGTAACTCTTAGTCGCCAGAAATTCGAGTGGCCGATGTGGTCTGGAGAAGCCTGCAGCCAGAAGTGGAGGGGTGCGGGG